GCTATTCATTCCATTTTCAGGCAGCTTCATGTCGCGTTTGATAAAAATCTGTCCCCCTGGAACTGCCATTCATTTATCCTAGTTCTGCTGTCTGCAAAAGCAGGCTGAGCCGGCTTGCTCAGCTCTCATTACCCTCTGAGCCTTGCTTGACCAGGCGAATTGCTTCACACACTCGGTTACTGTTGCCTGTTTGCTCTTGTCTGAATAGACTCCAGTTTGTCAATGACCCTCACTACCTGGGACACCCAGGACTGCACCCAGAGCTCAAACTAATTCTGACCAATCAAAATTCAATCCCCTCCTCGAACACAGTGCTGCACATCTATGATTGCAGCCCCAGGCTGAATGTGTTCTTTGGGCATCCACGTGGAATTCTCAACTAATATTGAGCTCTTCATCAACAAGAGATGTGGTAAATGGGAACATTTCAGCCACTCTTTGCCAGCCTAGGCTGCTGGATCCCAGGGCAATGAGGTCCCTAACTCATCTGCATATAATTTCACTTCAACAAAAATTGTTTGTTGTGGCAAATACTTCATCCAAACTTGCATGGTGATTTTCATTCCTCATCATGTAAGGGGTACCTTTTTTTCTTTTGCATATGCAGAATGGGTTGATTGTCTGTTTAGGTTTTTTTTAACTTTGATTCAGTGACAATTAATCAATGGTTGTCTAAAGAGGCAAAAGAAAGTCAGACTCCTCACATGCAGAATTGGCATGTAATCTCACATCAACACAACCCCAGGATCTTTCTAATCAGTGATTGTGTTTGACCACAAAATTGAAAGTATCTTTACTTTAACTCAAGGATGACCAAAATAGACTGGTGAATGGGAACTGATTATCTGCTATTCCTTAAAATTCCCTGGTTCTAAATTAAATTATTTTCTTATTCTTTATATTTTGACTTAATTAATATTTAATTTTGTCATGGTTCTTATAGAAATTTTTATTTTCTAGTTTTACAATCAAAAAGGAAAGGGTAAATGTCAAATATACTTTGGGGAAAATGCTTTAAAGTATAATTTTTAGAGATCAGTGACTAGGCTAGAAGCCCCCATCAAAAAAAAAAAAAAGAATGATCTTGGGCTAAGATCTCCCTTCCCTCTTATTCTGATCTTCTGCATCCATCTGTGTAGACAAAGAAGCCTGAGCTACTGTCTAATGAACCCAGTCTTCTCACTTTACAAATGATGGAACATAATGTACAGATGGGTTAAAGTGACTTGCTCAAGTTCACATGGATAACGGCAGCTTCTAGCACATATCTCTCTTCTTCCAAGCCATTGATACAGAATATCATTTTGAAGGAATTCAGAGAGGCAAGAGATTACTCTCGTATGGGGTCTTTGGAGAAAACATCATGGAAGAATTGAAATTGGAAAGAAGTAAAGCATTTTTAACCAAATCTTACTTTTTCACCAAAATAACACATGCTAGCAATAGAAATTTTGGGAAATGCTGAAAAGCACAAGGAAAGGTGATGGAACAATTGCTCATAATCCCACCACGTGAAAGCAGTGTGATTGGTGAATTTCTCTATAGTCTTTTTTTCCTGGCACGTTATTTGTTGTTGTTTTCTATCACTGTGAACATACTACTTATCAGGGAACATTATAATTCAAAGCCTATTCCATCTTGTAATAAACTCTGCATAGGTATTATTTTAATTGCTACGTAACAGTCCATTTTTGCCATAATCTTCTTAATTTTGCTCCTATTTTTTAATAATTAGGTAGAGGGAAAGATTTAAATGAAGAGAGGAAAGATATGTAGAAGACAATATGTATTTACAGCAAATTAAAACACCAAAATACAGATGTGTATTTGAGCTTGAGCTTGTGGGTGATTTTTGTTTCATTCTTTATATTTTTCTCAATGGTACAAAGCACTAATAAGCATACCCACTTTTATTGAGCACTTACCATGTGCTTTATGCCACAGATATGTTTTCTTATTTAGTCCTTATAATGACCAACCAACTATTATATCTTCATTTTAAAGATAAGGAAAATAAGACCTAGAGAAGTTAAGGGACTTGCAGCTCAGTGATGCAGCCAGAATTTGTTCCCAGGTCTGTCTTAGGAGAAAACGGCTATTCTTAACCACTATACAACCTATCCCAAGTTTTTTACAAACATCTACCATTGTTACAATGAGAAAGCTATTTTAAAAAATGAAAATGGATTGCAAACAATAGTTCATTTCTAGTATAAGCAGATAAGTTATCACCAATAGAGTACAAAAAACAATCTACCAAAATCCCACAACAGCTAAGAAAATCATCAATACATAAAATCCCCTCAGCCATGTCTAAAATGTTTAAAATTCAAGTATGTTTCAGGTTTCTCTGAAATTGATTAGAAATAGAAAAAAAGAAGCAACGTTAATTGCAGCTACGTGAGTGAAGTCTGGATTCTGAGACTGGATGAAAATTGATTGTGCTAAAAGTAGTCTTCTGTAATTAAGTGAATCTGTGCTGTGCACTTTAATTAGTCGGCAGAACTAATTCTAAGTGGTAACCTTAAGTCCTGGTGTATGTCATTCAACAAGAACGTGGCAGCCCCACCTCAGCTGAGTTCTACCTGTTTTCCGCAGCAGTCCTATTGATGCATCCACGGCTCTAATGTGAAACTGCAGGAAATGTGATGCATCCTTTGGTAACCCAGATGTACACATTATGAAATCTTCCTCATTCCTTCATTCAGAGGACTTGTAATAGGTTTAGGTTCCAAGGAATCTCACTGGGGGAACGTAACTGCCTTAGAAAGTCCTTGAAGTCATTGGCATTTCACATCACACACTGGGGGACTTGGCAGAGTCAGTAAACATTATAAAATTCACTTGATAGGTTTCTCTTAGTTTCTATGCAGACAAGCTGAACCTGTGTCTTTGAAAAGGTGTTCAAAACAATGAATCTCCAAAAATTTTCTCTAAACCCCTCAGTATCAGATTTCATGGTATTAAAAAATGGAAAGATGATTTATTTTTCTTTTTATTGTTGTTTTTAACCTTTTTTTAATTATAAAAGTAATGCATACTCATAGAAAATTCAAGAAGTAAAGAAAAGTGGAAAGAAGCAGGAAAAACATAACCCATCATCTCTTCATTCAAAGAGGGATTGCTCTTAACATGGTAGCACATTTCCTTCTAGTCTTTTATCTAGCCATTGTCTAGCTGAGATATCATTTTGTTTGCACAAATTGGTATTCTACTAGAAAGATTCATTGAAAAAGAAATTTTGAATTTTATTCCTAACAACTTGGGTGAGTGGTGGCCATTCCACGTGCTTCTAGCATCTCAGACACAGATTAAGATGCCTGCTGCCCTGAGCTTTCACTAAGGGGAGGCCTCCCCTGAAGGGACAGGACCCACTTTGTGGTCGGAATGAGTATCCTGGACATAACAAAGGAGGAGATCATTCCTACTATTTATTTAGTAGCCTGGGATTAATCCCATTGGGCTGACCCTCATTCCCTGAACATTTGCATCCAGAAGTATGCTTATAATTCGCACTCAGAGCAACTTTAAGAAGAGTTGTCACCACAGAATAACCACTACCCAGGCATGAGGGTTGAGTAGAGGATGTGACTGGAAGGATTAAAAGGCAAGGGGCAACCTCGATGGTTTGTCAACAAGTCGCAGGACTCAGAATCATAGAAATTGAGATTTGCGGATAAAGTGTATGAATCTCAGTCTCAGACTCAGGTGTTCAAAGAATACTCATTTCTTTGTTTTCTTAAAAGAAAATAAAGTGGTTTCCAAGCATCTCGCTTACCAAACTGGCAGATAACTTAGTCTCAGGTGCCAAATATGGAAGGCTTATGTGGTGCCAGAAAACAAGGGCAGAGTCTCCACCCTCTTGTCTGTCATGCTGACTGCCAACAGCCAATCAACCCCAGCTGGTTCACTGAAATCCAGTTGATCTCTATTTCCCAGCAATGTGGGTGTCAGAGTTCAAGTCAGCGCCCCCAGTCACACCCTCTGTCACCTTCTTGGTTGGGCCAATTTGCCAGGGAACTACCTAAAAGCGATGTACCAGTCTCCTACTCATCTCAGAACCCACCACCCTCCTTCTCTTTTCCCACCCCTGGAAAGTGCCCCTTCCTCTCTTAAGTTCTGCCCCTTTTTCCTCCCCCAAGACACGGAAAGTACTTTCTTCAGGCTTCTTCTATAAAATAGAAGCGAATGGGGGAGAAATCAGGCAGAAAAATTCTGCTTTGGTCCAGGAACACACACCTCCTCTGAAGTAAAGGAGAGCACATGGCCTGGTTTCCCTTTTGGAAGATGTAAAGGAAAATTATAATGAGAAAAACCTATTTTTCAAAAGATCATCCTGCCATAGAAATGACTTTGCATAGGACTCAGTCAAGTTCATACCCAAAGCTGAGGTCCTTCATTCTTTAGCACCCAGAGGCCATGTTTGCCAGGAGGTGATGAGCTTGGACTTAGAGGCCAGACTGGAGTTCAGATCATGTGCAGTCCTAGCTTTGTGACCATAACCCTCTAGGCTCAGTTTTCTCCTAGCACAGTGCTTGGCACAGAGTAGGATCAATTAATGTTACTTTCCTTTGTCCTTGGCCAGGGATCCCTCCCCAAGTCACTGCCCAGCCAGTCCCAAAGCTGTGGCTCTAATTCCTCATATCCTAGGAGCAACTCCAGGAAAGGCTGTCCTTCCTAAAACGTGTGCTTGGTACCCTCATTTGAAACTGTTCAAGTAATGTATTTTTAGCTGAATTTGGTTTATATGATCCCGGTCGTTCAGATGGTAGCTATTTTCCTGCCAGAGAAAATCACATCTAATCCATTTTAATATTTTGCCCACTGTGTACCCTCCAGAAGCTCTTCAACCATGAGTATTGTTGGATGTGGACAGTTGGAACATTTGATTCCTCCTCAGAACTCATTTTGACCTATGAGGAAAACCGTCTCCCTGGAAATAAACCAGATAATGTAGCATGTTCTTAAATCCATCTCTCTTCATTTCTTCTGTCTCCTAGTCAGATACAGAGTTTTGGGATAAGATGCAAGCAGAATGGGAAGAAATGGCCCGGAGGAACTGGATATCTGAGAACCAAGAAGCCCAGAACCAAGTTACGATCTCAGCTAGTGAGAAGGTGACCAGTTCTCTTATATATGCTGACCAGTTTTCTCGACCACTTTGGATCACATTTAGTTGATAACTATCTTGTGAAAACATCCAAGAGTTAAACATAAAATGTAATGTCAATCTGACCTAGAAGAAATTCTAATAGATAAAAATAATATAATCATCCAATGTGTGAAGGCAGCAGAGCTAGAATGGAATATCCTTATTTTTATGCATGTTAAGACAGACAGTGTGGCAGCCAACAGAGTTTGGACCCTGACTGCTGGCCAGTTACTGAAATAACTGACATTGGAACAAGAACTGGGCAATCCCACAATGCTTTTCGTCAGTCAGCCACATGAGCCATGTCCATGTGCTAACAACATCAGTGAAGCAGGGGAGTGAAGCAGGGCTGAGGACTATATTTCATAAGTGGTCATTACACAGCTAGCAAAGAAACTCAGTGGAAAAGATAGGCTTCATACAACCACGTCAAGCCCCAAAGGATTCCTCACAGATATTCCCCCAGTAGGAGCCCCAGCAAATGTGAGTGCAGTGAACAACCAGCCAAATTACCCATGAAGTCCCAGTTGCCCTGGGATTTATGCTTCTAAAAACTCTTGGGGAAAAAAAACAAGAAATAAGTTTAAATGATTTGAAAGATAGAAAGAGATCTCGAATTTTCTTATACAGGAGAAGAAAGACATATATATATGTTTACATAATGGGGTTTTTTTGTGGTAGAGGAAGTCTCAATATTCAGTTCTGGATAACTTCCATGATATTTAGTTCAATCCAACAAATATTTATGGAGTGTCTACTCCACACTTGATACTGCGGAAATGATGATTAATTGTCTCTGATCTTAGGGGATTTGCAATCTACATAGTCATTAAAATGTCTTCCTCCTCCCAATATTCTCTATCCCACAGGAGGCCAGGCAATCTCATAAATCAGAACCTATCTCTTTAAAATTAACTGTCTTTTCCACAAAGTAATAAAAACTAACTAAAAAGAGAACATTGATGCGGACCATCAGACTCTGGGCTGTAATCCATGCACCTGAGGCATGGCTGGGACCCTGCGCTCCTCACTCCTGGGACCCTACATTCGTAACCACTACAGAAGCTAGTCATACCCTGTGGCTTTTGATCAGGGTTTTGTCTTTCTAAGCACCTTTCCAGAATGAAGGTCTCCATTTGATCTATTTTAAAACCCTAGTAACATCATCAACAAACTAGCTTATTTGTATCTATCAAATTGGAAGGATTTTATGATAATCTATGTTAGTAAGGTTGCAACAAATAATGTCTCTCAGATATTTTCAATGAGAGTTTGAGACAAACTTTCTCAAAAACAGTTCAGCTACACATATCAAGGGCCGCAAAATAGTTCCTAGCCTTTAGCCTAATAAATCCTTCTAGAAGTCTATCCTAAGTTAACAATCAATGCAGACCAAGATTTGAGCCTGAAGCTTTCACTATAGCTTTATTTATGATGACAAAGAAATTGAAAGTAACCTGAATGTCCATCAATGGAGGGTTGATTAAATAAATTTTAACATAATATAAATAATTATATTAACTAAAACTAAGTGAGGCTTAGGTGTCAAAACTGCATATATAGGATGGGCTTATTTGTTTAATTTGTGTGCTCATAGAAAAATACTAGAAGAATTTACTTGTAAATTCTGTATTGTTTAAATTTTTCCAATAACAGAAGATCTATAACATTAAAACATGCATTCTCAATGGGGAGCTGTAGCCATCAATGAAGCATAAACTGGTTTGAGGAGTGGGTAGGTGAAAAAAATCATGCATATGGTTTGTAGCCCTCCAAAGGGCCACAGAACAGACAGATGTACAATACATGGTATCAACATTTCAGGGGCTGGGTGGCAGCCCTTAGCAAAAATATGTCCAAATGGTCAGTATTTTTAAAATCTTTGGGGGGAAATGGTTAAACCAAAAAGAACAAAAGAAATATCCAAAGGAAAACAAGCTCCAAAATATTAGCAGTGATCACATTCAGGTTGTGGCGTTATGGGTAACTTCTTGTTTCTTTTTCTATTATTTGATAACAAAATAATATTATCTAAAATTTATACAATGAAAATGTACTACATTCATAATAAGGAAAAACAGTAATTAAAACTTAATTGAAATTAAGTTAACTAAGCAATTAAAATAAATGAATTAAAATTCAAAAAGAACTTACTGAATGGAAGAAGGAAGAGATGTCGAATTGGATGTCGATGGGTTGGCCCTTCTCTGTGTTATAGGGATATTACTTCCACACTGAAAACCCCTTCAAGGACTGGCCTGGAGCATTTGAAGAAGGCTTAAAAAGGCTGAAGGAAGGGGACCTGCCAGTCACCATCCTGTTCATGGAGGCAGCGATCCTTCAGGACCCCGGAGATGCAGAGGTGTCCTTTCTTCTTCATCCTGCCAGGCTCAGAAAGTGGCTGCATGTGCTAATGAGGGACAGAACGGGACAGAGCTCTACTGGGTTGCCTTTTCATTAAGTAAAGGTTCCCCAAGGAGTTAACCTGGTTTAGTCTGATATTTGTTTGAAACTTAACAAATAGTGACCTGTTTTCTAAGCAAATCTGCAGTATCTACAGTGTCTGAAAATGAAGGGTGGGGACAGGAAAACGAAAAACTAAAATTGCCAACCTGAAAGCTCAGCGGTTTTCAGGGGCCAGTGTATAGTTTTGTTTGGATCTAAAGCCACAATATATCTCACCCTTCATTTACTCAGTCGACATTTATAGAGCACATACTGTGTCTCAAGAATTATGCCAGGCACTGGCTTAAAATATTGAAGAGCTGGAAAGATAAAACAGTTGAAAGGACACATTTGTGGTCTATCTGGAGAGACGAGTAAATAAATCAATGCAGTGTAATAAAAGCAGTGTCAGATAACACACAGGATGCTAGGAGAGCAGAGAGCAAGGCTCCTGATCCAGCCTTCCCCTCCTAGTGAATCCAAAGCCGAGTTTTGAAGGAGAGAGGTTTAGTTAAAGACAGCAGGGGAGTGAAGCTGTTGTTAAGAGGGAATGCTTAAGCTTCTAGGCTCTGCTGTCCTGTGTGGGTTTGAATCCCCACTCTACTGCTGGTCAGCCATGGGCCATGTGACCTGGGACAAGTCATTTAAACCCTCTAAGCTTCAGTTTTGTCACATGTAAGATGGAAATCATGATTATAATAACTATCTCATTGGATGTTGTGAAGATTGATTTAGTTCATACAAATAAAGTGCTCAGTTCAGTGCCTGGCACATCAATATTTAGCCTTCATTAGTATTATTGGTTGTACTTAGTTTGTATAGAAAGAGCAAATAAACTGATCACTAGTTAAAGCCCCTAGTATCCTGTTAGTCAATGAATGAGACTGAACGGAGAGCTGGGATTCTGAATCAAATATTGGAATTTTTATAAAAGATGCATAAATCTTCTAGAAGAGAAAGTCGTTGCATTAATAGAAAACTGTAGGCCACACCCCCAAAAATAATAATGTCATCTTACATTTCTAAATGCTATGTGTTTTCATGTATAATGTATCATTTGACACAACAACCCTAGGAGCTAAAAAAAAAAAAAAAGTATACATTATTATACCAGATTCATAAATGAGAAAATTAGGACACTTGGAAACTAACGGATCCTAGACAAGGACCCAGGACTTCTGAATCTATGGAGATCCCAAAGCTAAGATAAGGGACAATCTTCGGACAGTGAAAATGACACCAGGCCCAAAGGCTAGGAAGAAGGCCCCAGAGAAAGAGTGTTTCATCAGTCTTTTCTTAAGAAGCATTCTAAGATGTGTGGATGGTGAAATCAAAATAGAGGCTGCTCTGTGTACATTTGAAAGATTAAAAAGAATCACTGATATTCTTGTGGGGAAGAATCAGCATGAATTTATATGGAGCCTGTAATAATAACCCATGAGGGGAAAAGCCAATACAATTTTTACAGCACTTTAAAATGATTCTTTGTGTTTTCATATAGTTTTGTTTTAAAATGTCCATAATATGATTCTCAAAGGTGGGAGAGTTATGCTCTTCCCAAACCTTTTTAAATCCCTGAGACTCTGATACACCTCTATCCCTAGCAAATTTGAGGACAATGTGTATAAGGCGAGGTTTTGTTGATGTGTATTGCTCTTGCAGTGGTGTGAGAATTATTGTTATTATAAGTATACAAGTAGAAATTTGTTATAAACTTTCATTCTAGATGTGAAAAAAGTTGTCTGCTTGAAGATATTCTTCACATTATTGACAATAGCAAAGACTTGGAAATGACCCTAGAGAAATAAGGGAATTGGTTGAGTAAATAATGGGATATCCATTCAACAAAATTTAAATTATAACTAAGAGGATTTTGTAAAAACATGAAAAAGTGTTTATGATGCAATATAAAGTGTAAGCATAGGCTATACAATTATATATACATTTATATTGCATTTTATGTGTTTTTTATGCCTTTTAACAATGATTATATTAGAGCAGTGAACACATTGTAGGGGGTTATGTTTTGGTTTTTCTTCCCTAGTCCCTAAGTTTCCTGTTACCACTTCTAATAACTGCTTGACTTTCATTTATACAAGCTAATTGCATTTTGTGCATCTTGAGATTCCTTGTTGTAAACTTTAGACTATTTAGCTACATTTCTGGGTTATTTTTCTGCCTCACAAATGCATAATTTCATATATTTACCTTTTGGTTTGAAGATACCTAATATCACGAAATCTCAGAAACTCAGAGGTTTCCATGCGTCACAGGAGCGAATAAACACTGAGTTTGTAAATAATGACAGAGGATCTTGTCCCAGGAGTCACAAGAGAGTTTGAATGAAGAAATGCCTGTGATATTGTTCCCTTTTATAAGACTCTCACGTCTGAGACAGGTTGCTCTGCATAGAGGAATCTGTCACAGGTCAACAAACCAACTAAGCCCATGAGCGATTCTGCCTCCTCTTGCAATGCTGACATCAGTTGTTTTTCGTAGGCGTGGCAGTTCCTCGGGATAACCCAGGCGGAGAATGAAAACGAACAAGCAGCTATTGTCGCCCTCCAGAGGTAGATAAAGCTAAGTGCAAAACCGTGGGCCACTGGTTAATGGACTTCCTGTTGTTTCCGATTTGCCTTTTGATCCTTAAGTACATTGTAATGAATTGGGCCAGGATCAGAGCTGAGACACCACATAGTACTTACCCTTAGCTCTGGAAAACAAGAACTTACGAAGAAATAATATTCCTAAATCACAATGTTTTGCCATCTACAAATCCATTGACCTTCATGGGCACGAAAGAGGCTATGTCTAAGCAGTCACAAAATAGACTCATTGAATAAGTAGTTCCTTTTAACTTTCCAGCCTTCTGCAGCATCTGAAAGTTTTCTTTAGGCAAAACATACTCAAAATAATCTCAATGTAATTTTTGCTCCTTGTGTGTATGGAGAATTTCCTGAAATTCAAGTTTCAGCAACCTCAAAGTCTAACTCCTGAGCCCCCAACTAAAGACTAGTCTGCTAGACTGGTCGCCCTAGACTGCTTTGGGTGGGTGTAGCACCACACCATGCTTGATTAGAGGCCCTATTTAAACTCTGGAAAAATAGCCCCTACCAAATAAATTTCCATTTCCCTACCCTTTCTTATAAACAAACAAATATATATATATATATATATATAGACATAGGTACTGTCCAGGGCTTGCTACTCAAAGTCTTATCCAGGGGCTACCAGCATCATCACCATCCAGGAGCTCGTCAGACCTGCACAGCCTCAGGCCCAGCCAGGCCTACTGTATCAGAATCTGCAACTTACCAGATCCCCAGATAATTCTCATGCACACCAGAGTTTGAAAAGCCCTTGCTAGAGGCCAGTAGAATAGCATGAGGGGAGCAGCTGTAGCCTGTACCCCCTGTAAATCCACATCAGTAGTCTGCAAACACGGGAATTTCCCTCTCCTTTACAATACTGTACAATCTGTCGTCTCTGGATGTCCAAATTTAGTTCAAGTCAGTTTAGTTTGTGCATAAGGTACATTGAATATATTGATAGTAGAGGAGTGTTAAAATAATGATATCCCCTGCTTCTCATTAGATAAACCAACTACTAATAAATTATGTGCAGGGATTAGTCCCATTTTCTATAGTTTTAAAATAATTTATTAAAATCATCAAACTTAGCACTTGTTGGATGAGTTTTAACTTTCTTAAAAATATGCTTAGGCCCCAATTTTCATGTATTTCCCAGGGACTTAACATAAACTTAGCAATGCTCTTGCACCATTTAATTAATAAAGACTTCAAATTTTCTAAAGAACTATTCAGACTCTGGCTCCAAAAAAAATCTGAAATTCACTTCTTTTTGCCTTCTTTCAGGTGCTTAGAATTGCAGCCCAACAACTTGAAAGCTTTGATGGCTTTGGCCGTGAGTTACACTAACACCGGCCATCAGCAGGATGCCTGCGAAGCTCTGAAGAACTGGATTAGGCAAAATCCAAAGTACAAATACCTTGTGAAGAGCAAGAAGGGATCTCCCGGCCTCACCCGGCGAATGTCTAAGTCTCCGGTGGACAGGTGTCCTCCTCGATAAATTACACCTATATACACAATTAATCACCTTCAGGGAATTAACAAGCCTCAGGCCCCCACCACCGCCTATCCCAGACTGGTTCGTAGGACAGCATTCTGCTAGAAGAGCAACACTAATTAAAAGGACTGATGCTGACACCAGAGCCAACCTTTGGACATGTCATCTACATTGCCGGCACCCACAGACATGTATCTGAGTACAATATTTTAAAGCCAAATGCTTAGCACATATAATTAACCTAAAATAAATTAGAATAAGTACCAATGTGCCAAGTTTTATAAATCCTCAAGATTAGGTGTGAGTAAAAAATGGAAGTCCTTCCGTCTGAGAATTTTGTTTCTATCAGCAATAAATCATGATGTTAAATTCTCACTCACTGAGGCCTTGGGAAACTTAGCCCCGAGGGGTTTTCGACATTGGCTCCCATAGGGTCAATGGAATTCTTGTGAAAACCTTAGCACAGTCTGCACCTGTGTAGGACAAAATATTTTATGAAAATCAGCAGGTATTTTTTATCATGCTGTATTAATAGTCCTTTCATTAAGCTGGGATATTTTCAGCAAGAGTTTCCAGTTTGTAATGTTCTCTTGGAACAGAGAACGTAATAGTAAAATCATCTATGTTCGGACTATTTAGATTACAAATCTAATTTTTGTCCCCTGCAGCTCTGTTCTGGAAGGGGTGAAGGAATTGTATCTGGAAGCTGCCCACCAAAATGGAGATATGATCGACCCAGACCTGCAGACTGGTCTGGGGGTGCTGTTCCACCTGAGCGGAGAATTTAACAGAGCAATCGATGCGTTTAACGCGGCCTTAACTGTTCGGCCAGAGGTAAGCGCACAGCAAGAAACCACAGGTTCTCTGTTAAAAATAAGTTTTCACAGACTGCACTTTGTACATTTCTGCTGCACTGTATTTCCCCGCATCCAATGCTTTAGTGATCAGTTCTAATGATATGCTACCTTGGCTGTTAATATTTAGGTCCCTAAAATAGAAACAGGAATTGCCTGACAGCATCAAAGGATAGCTGCTCTGTGATGAATGAAAGTCATTTCACAAAGTTGTCTATAAAGATTTTTGAGTAATTCACTACGTCCTGGTGACGTGGTGACATCACCATGATGACACGGCCATTGGTGACGTCACCTTGTCCATAAGCACTGGATCCATTTTTAGCCATCATCCTTCTTCTGCAGGGGATGTGGGACTACTCTGTCATTGTGGCCCCACTGGTTGTTAGAGAGCTCTAATTTTGTCATCAGGACTATTCATTGTGGAACCGTCTCGGGGCGACCTTGGCGAACGGAGACCGCAGTGAGGAAGCGGTGGAGGCCTACACGCGAGCGCTGGAGATTCAGCCAGGCTTCATCCGATCCAGATACAATCTGGGAATAAGCTGCATCAACCTGGGCGCCTACAGGTGAAGTATGGCAGCAGGCTGAGAACCAAGAGCCGTGCTCGCGGCCGAGGTCCAGTAACCAGAACGGTTCTTTCCCAGTCCTCTTCCTCCTCCTGTTACGAGTAAACTTGGAACCTTCAGATCCTGAGGCGAGTTGAACGGGGCACAGTTTGCTTCAGTGTTTCACAGTCTTTAGAGAGCAGCAACCATGGGGCATCTTGAGAGAGGTAGATTCCCGGGCTCCTCCCCCAGAGATTTTTATTCAGTCGGCCTGGGTGGGGAGAAGTTCCCTGAGTTTTTAATACCCCCAAGGGCAACTCCTTGAGAAACAGGAACAGTCCAACCCTTCATCTTTCAAGTAAGGAAAAAAGAAGCTTGTGGGGCAGGGCAGGAGGACCCAGCAAAATGGCTTAAGAAGGTCCCAGGGCCAGCTTTTGGCAAAGCATAACCAACATTACAGGTTTTCTAAACCTAATTTTAAAATGGTGGGTTTATAGTTTGGAATGTCTTTCTCCTTCTTTTGTGATTCCTCATTATCTTTCTGGTCTATATCTTCTCTGTCTTTTCTCCATCAATAAGGACCATAAATGACCTTTATTTCTTTGGGGTAATGAAAGTTTGGGTGATTTTTTCTTTTTTCTATTTTCTAAATAAACAGGTGTTATTTTCATAACTGGAAAAAAAAAAAGAACTAAATGTTAGTTTTAAGCCTCACAAAAAATGTAAACCCTGGGGCCAGCCCGTGGCGTAATGGTTAAGTTTGCATGCTCTGCTTCAGCAGCTGGGGTTAGCAGTTCGATGCCCGGACACCTACACACTGCTGGTGAAGCCATGCAGTGGCAGCGTCCCACTGCAAAATAGAGGAAGATTGGCACAAATGTTAGCTCAGGTATGATCTTCCTCACCAAAAAAAAAAAATGTAAACCTTTTCTCATTCTCAAAAAGAGCCAGGCTTTTAGAGTCAGACAAGCTTGGGCTCAAAGTACAGCTCTGCCATCTGCTGATTTTATGACTCTGAACGTATAACTTTGAGCCTCAATTTCTTCACCTGCTTAAAAAAAAAGAGGTAATAATATCCATCTTGTAGGATTATTGCACAGGTTAAATGTAATTGCCTAGCACAGAGCAGATGTTCAACACCTAGTAGGCATTATTATTATGATTATTATCATTGCCTTCATCATGAGTATCCTTATCATTATTATTACTTAGATACGTCATCAGAGAGTTACAGAGCTGGATTGCATTCTTTTGACATTTGAAGAATTGCTTCTTCTGAACTGCTTTAGGGCCTTGTGCCATTGGCAAATACTGAGGCTTTAGGAACTCTTTGCTGTGTTTATACTAAAAGGATCTTAGAAAGAACATTAGTCACTGGATTACACTGTCCTCTAAGAGGATCTTGCTCAGGTCAAAACCAGGAGCAGCTGAGTGACTCCTGAGCAAGTAGATTGTTTTATTTTGTGGACATTGTGAAATGTGCCACCACGAAGGCCCTCTTTACATCAGCTGTGCAAAGGGCCAGGGTTGAATCTGTGCCGCCTCCTGCACATCAGCTGACTGAGGCCTGACGATGTCCGTTTTGTACACTAACTTCAGTCCTGGCTTTATCTCCTTTCCCTAACCTGACTTTATCTTCACTCCTTTTTTTCACTTATTTTCTAGTTATGTTGTATATATTTATTTTATGAGACATCTTAGATCCTTTCTTTGGAACAAGGAGAAATGTAAATAAATACATATGTACCTATAGACGTATTGAATTCCATTAAAGGAGGCTTTTAAAAGCTTCTGGATGAGTTTTTCTTTTTTTTTTTTTAAAGATTGGCACCTGAGCTAACAACTGTTGCCAGTCTTCTTTTTTTTTTCCTGCTTTTTTTCCCAAAATTCCCCCAGTATATAGTTTTATATTTTAGTTGTGGGTCCTTCTAGTTGTGGCATGCGGGACGCTGCCTCAGCATGACCTGATGAGCAGTGCCATGTCTGCACCCAGGATCCGAACCAGCAAAACCCTGGGCCGCCGAAGCACAGCACGCAAACTTAACCACTTGGCCACGGGGCCAGCCCCTGGATGAGTTTTTCTTAATTGTAATGTCTTAGTATAGAAAACAATACTTGAGGGGCCAATAAAATCCTTTGTTGGCATTCACAGATGTAAGACTCAAGAGGGCAACTATTTGCAGGGGAAAGGTCTGTGACAGGTAGAAATGGGCAACTCGGTGAAGATGTGAATTTTTAATCCTCAAGCACAAGGTCTCCTGTACAGGAACAAGGCAATTTTAGGGTTGCCAGATAAAATACAGAATGCCCAGTTCAATTTGAATTTCAGATAAACAGCAAATATATCTTTAGGATAAGCATCTCCCAAATATTCCGTGGGACACACACAGTCAGCCCTCTCTATCTGCAGGTTCCATATACACAGATCCAACAGTTGCCAATCAAAAGGACTACAATGGTTACAACTGTGTGGAACACATACAGACTTTTTTTCTTGTTATTATTCCATAAACAATATGGTATAACAACTATTTACACAGTATTTACATTGTGTTAGGTATTCTAAGTAACCTGAAGATGATTTAAATTATACAAGAGGATGTGCATAGGTTACATGCAGATACTACGCCGTTTTATGTAAGGGACTTGAGCATCCCATGGTATCCATGGGGGTCGTGGAACCAATCGCCTGTGAATATGGAGGGACAAGCTGTACTAAAGATTATTCACTGTTTATGTGAGATTCAGGTTTACCTGTGCATCCTATATTCCTATTTGCTAAATCTGCGCATCTTGATCAATTAGCTACTTGGGAACATCTCAGCTAAGCTTCCTGGGTCTTTTATTGTCATGCTCAGTATGGGAAATCTTGTGAAGGGATAAATATCTTGCACTTTTTCCTGAGAAAAAAGACCATCAAGGGAGACATAAACCTTAAATGAATTCTGAAAATAAGTTTAACTTGAAGTGTATGTGTATGCTTAGGGAATAACAACTCTCACTAGAGATGTGGCTGAGAAGAAAGCCAGGAGCTGGTACAGACACTTCCGTATCCACGAAAGTCTCGGGACCTCTCCCTCAAGAGCTGCAGGTGTCTGTGTGCGTAGCTATAACACTGCTGTTTGTCATCTCATGTTTTCTATAACGAGTCAAAGGCAAGTCCTACCCTAGTCCTGCATACAGTTGAAGTGAGAGGAAACTGTTGGCATGAAACTTTGCGTAGCTTAAACTGCTACCCCTTTGTCAGTAGGAGCTCCAGAGAAGAACTTAGAGCAAAGAATGTAACCATTTCAGAAGTGAGGACCCTTTTTTAATCAAAAAAGAAATCTCATCCCCTTTGATAATGATATGTGTAGTATTAGTATAATGACGGAAAGCTACTATAAAATAAAGAATGTATTTAAATGAATGTGCTTTTTGTTAATTGTGACATACACGAACAATTTAAACTTTTTCATACATGTATATGTGAAACATTTTAAAACTATTCCCACATATACTTGTACAATCTTCCGAGTCCCCCAAAAGGACTCTGAATTCCCAAGTTGGGGAACAAGGTTAGACTCTCTTCATGGGAAAAACCTCAAGTTACTTGACAAGGCTACCAAATTAGAGTATTCTTCTGTTACTCCCCATGTCCCTCAGAGACACTGCCACACACCTGGGGGCCAGGAGCAGCCTGTGCGGGAAGTGATTCCCAGATCTTCCTTCCCCAGTTCTTCTAGGTCTGGGATGATGAGAGGAAATGGAGTTACTGTCATTCAAGCTGCCGCTCTGTGACAAGGAAGCCAGAAAGGGCCTCCTTTCCTTCCCCATATGCCTCTGTTTATAAATCCTTCCTCTCTTCCTGGATTACAAGACATCCAGAAGAGGGGGTTATTAGAACACCCACTCCCTTCCGTTACCCAGGTCGTCACATACAGCGCAAACATTTCCGGATTGCCTTTTATTGCCAGGCAGACCTAACAACATAGATGAGCAAATGCCTGGATCATGTACATGGAATCAGAAATCTAGCCTCATTTTCTTTAAGGATTCTTACCAAATGCTTAAGAATGACTACCTTGCAGTATGAAAGGAAATCAAGTGTGTGAAAAGCTTTTAAGAAGAGGAAAGTAGATACAAATTAAGGCGGCATCCTTATTCGTAGCAAAGACCAGTTTGTCAGATACGTAATACATATTCAGGTGATGTGGGGTGCTGAAGAGGGCACAGGAGCCCGGGTGAACCAGAGGAGCTAGACGGCCTTGGGACAGCATCTCACCCAGCAGTTCACACACTGAGTTTGTTCTCAGGACCCCTGACACTTTTAACAGTTGTTGAGAACTTCAAAGCGCTTTTGTTTATGTGTGTTATAGCTATCAATTTTTACCATGTTAGAAATTCAACTGAGAAAACTTTAGACTTCATTTAAAAATAATAATAAACTAATTACATGTTAGCATAAGTTATAAATTTTATGAAAAATAATTATTTTCCAAAAGAAACAAATAAAAATGTTTAGTGAGAAGAGTGGCATTTTTTTTATCACTTTTGCAAATTTCTTCAATATCCTGCTCAACAGAAGACAGACTCTTATCTCCTTCTGTACTCAATCTATCGAGATATCATAGATCATGTAATCACTGGAGAATTCCACTGTACACTTGTGAGAAAATGAGAGTGAAAAGGTAAAATAACATCTCAGTATAATTATAAAAATAATTTTGACCTCACTCATCCCCAGCGTTCCCCAGATCACTCTCTGACAACTACTGATCCAACTTGATAAGAGCTTCCACATAAATCCATTCAACTGCCCCTCACAACGTGGTTTTAAAATGACTTCTATTCCCCCGGTTATCCAGTCAGGGAAACTGAGGCTCGAAGAGCATGAGAAATTTGCCTAAGGCTGAATAACTGAGACTCAAACCCAGATGCTCTGATAAAACTCAATTCAACCCCACTGCCTCTTGTCTTTCTGTCACTAATAGGAAAAGTTGAACCACTTTGTTTCCGAGTAGGGCCAGATTCTCCTCTTCAATTCTAGTTATATAAAACACATCTGCAAATGGATGAAATCTTCAAGTCGCTCCTGGAATAGGGGAAAATCAAATGCATTAATGAGTTAGCAAGGCTTTTACTATTACTCTTCCTCTCCCACATGGCATTCCTAACATAAAATTTGCTTTCCTTCTTTCTTTCTGATTTCCCTATATTTAACAATGATTTTTCACAAAAGAATAATGAGGGAATCAGAATATTGTTCATCTGATGATCCAAAACACCACAGACAGGTGATTTAGAATTTTTATGCATTTTTTTCTTAAGTTTGCCAGCTCTGAAGTTTGTTGCATTTTAAAATGTCTGTTCTTCTACCCTCTTAGAGAAGCTGTCAGCAACTTCCTCACCGCCCTCAGTTTGCAAAGAAAGAGCAGGGATCAACAGCAAGTTCCTCATCCCGCCATCTCTGGGAATATCTGGGCTGCCCTCAGAATCGCACTTTCTCTGATGGACCAACCGGAACTCTTCCAGGCGGCTAACCTCGGTGACCTGGATGTCCTCCTCAGAGCTTTCAACTTGGATCCTTGAAGGAAAAGAAAAAAAATAATAATCTTTCATCTGAGTAGTTGAGATACTGAGAAATGCAAAACTCTTTTATTATGAATTTCAAAAAGGATAAACCAGATGTTCAAAAGGCCATGGTGATAGAACCCAAGGGGATTCCTCCACACAATGCCCGGTCTCTGTCAGACCCAAAAGCACAAAATGTTGTCTGTAGAGTCAAGGTCGGGCTCGAAAGAAGAACTGAGAGACTCAAGACAAACCAAGACAAAGTAACTGTGTGTGAATACTCTTTTCACAAGCTGCAAGCAGATTGCAAAACGTGTTCTTTCGGGGTTTTGTCCCCACCTGCAACTGATGACACATCTAAGGAACTTGCTCGTGGGACCCCTGGAGAAAGCACTGCCTCAGATCAGGGAATTCTGACTATTTCTGAACTGTCCCCTGAAACTCCCCCTTTTACAAGATTGAACATAGTTTGGGCCGAGGTGCATGCACATATACTAACTCTTGACTAAAGAGAGGCATTGCTTTAAACCTGTTCCAATTTTAACTTCTACTGTAGCTCTTTGATTCCAGAGAGGGAGCTTTGCTGGCAAAAGCAGTTTTTGCACTAGAAATTTTTGCTGTTCCCAATCAACACTTTTCTGGGACTGTATATATGCACTTTACTATCTTATTTATGCCTTGCTGGAGTTTTGTTTTGTTGCTCCAATTTTTAACTTGGGGGTGAAAGCTTTGAGAACTCAGCCTTGTCAGATCAACGGACCAAATAAAAATTCCTGAAAATAGTTTTTCATAGTGTAGGGTTTTGAAGGAGTGTTTTTCTTAAAGCAGATAGGACACAGGGTGTAAATATGTCAAACACAGATGTTCTTATTCACAAGCTTTCTGGATCTGTATGAACTTAAGCAAGAGATGAGGTACTGTCTCTTCATGTATTCTCTCTAGGGAGAAAGTTTGATGATATCGTGATTTCTATGGAGTTAACATTAACTTGCTTAGATGTCATAGTTTACTTGCTTTCTAACTGCCCTGCACATCAATATTCCTTTTAAACTGTTGATATTTTAAATAGTATTTCTTAAGAGTGATAAATACATCTTTCCTAAAAATTATGTGTTTTCTTAGTTCCATAATAACCTGCACTGTTCACCCTTTTGCATTCTAAGTGATAAGAGATCAATATTTTCTAGCTGAATCTCACCGACTGTCGGTGGTTTAAAATGAAAGATGCATGCCCTTTTGGCTCTCATTTTGAACATTTATCATGTATCAGGAATTTTCTGTTGGCAGCAGGGTTTTATTTAATTGGTTACATTCCACTCAGTTCTTCAGAGTGTTTTGTGCCTGTTGGAGGCTTGGTGATTACTTGGAAAGACATCATTTTTTAAAGAATTGGAAAAATTGTTTGCAAAGTGCTAATCAAAACATAATTTCACCAATGTCCAACTATATAATTGTCTTGGTAAGTTGTCCCAATCTTCTTCTTGTCTCCTTCCTCCCTCCACAATCTTCCCCAACGCAATCTGATCCCAACTTTTTCTTCATGTTCTTTAGTTAGTGACAGCTGGTTACATTCATGATTATAGTTACCAAGCAAAATAGCATTTGGGTCAAAACAGTTTAATTGGGGAGTTAGCTTTTCCTGGGGGGAAATGTGCACACATGCTGAGAAATCAAACTCTGGGTGCAGGTCGAAGTCCTCGCCTCTGTTACATTTGAAGTCCCTGGGGTAGGAAGGGGCCTCGAGTAAACGTGAAACCACAAGTCCTTGAGGCTTACGTATATTACAACCTATTCTAGTTTATAAAGATGCAGAGTTGAGGGCACCGTGGTGGAGGTTTTGATATTCATCGTCAAACTCACTTGGGCAAGGTGATGCCCCTAGCGGGACAGCAGGAGGCAGAGGCGTTAAGGCATTCACCCACCATTGGGCAGTAGTGACAGCCCACTCTTGGCCTACTTCCCTGCAGGCTGAGAAGTGAAGTAAAGCTCAAGGATATTTTCAAGAATGGTATTCTTAGAATTTTAGAATTCTAGAAACTCTGTCTGGGAAGGACTCTTGGGGACAGCCTCCAACCCATGGTAGCTGCCTGCTTGAACATTCCCAAGAGAACAGCATCCATTCTCTACATGTTCCTTCCTCCTGCCAATCCCTGTGCATTCACTGGCTGGCCAGCTGACTTGCATCCACCATAGTCCATTAAGAGCCTTCAAACAAAGGATTCAAAGCAAGCTTTTACAGGTGTCCTGTTCATGATGTCATTCTCTACTTTCAACTGTAACTGAATTTGCAGTAATAATGATAGGCTGTTTTCTTAGCCTTGCTGGCACTTCATACATGAGATCACTAATAACTGAAAGCCTGACAGTAGGGTAAATGTCGGATACCTTGATTTAATTTGGTTGTTGCTAACTGGTAGCAAATTTTGCTGCCCAAGCTTTATTTTGCTAGTGGAATACAATGTGACTTCAAACTCCAAAGAGTTGTGTCAGAGGAGAATAGACAATTTTCCATTCCCATCAGAATTGGGTAATTTGCAGAGCATTCGGTAGGACTTTCTCTGATATAATTCAGTGTCCATCCCAACCAGGATTTTCATAAGCTGTTGCCTGTCAGGAAGTGCAGAATTATTGCCCAAGACATTTTTTAATAAAATTAAGTAAAAACAGTTACTAAAAGGCAAATGAAAGTTTATAGAAATCAGAGCACCACCAAAAATTACGCAGCAAGATTTTGGAACAGTCTTTATTGTATGCATCTTTTTTTTTTTAAGCATATACACATTTTTTTAAGGCAAAACTGTTTTCGGCAGTGAAATTGTCATTTAAATTACTCTTTCCATTTAAAAAGGTAGTGTTCTTGGTTTTCTTCGGAGGCACTCTGGGAAGGCTTCGAGTTCATTTTTCTTGTATTACTGAGTAATAGCCTAAGACCTCTTAGAGGATGGTACTATTTTACTAGAATGGCCACTCAGTTGCACAGATGTGACTTTCAAGGATCGATTTCACCAGCAGACTGGATGAAAATGCAGAGAAAACTGGTGACCGTTACTGAATTTCAAAACATTATGTCTAGTGGCCTATTTCCATGTGCTGCTGTACCCTTACAGTGAGGAGGAGGCAGAGGGACAGGGAAGAGGAGGAGTAAAACATCCACTTACTGGCCAATCATATGGAGTCGTCTTGCCTTTTGCTGTCTCCCAAGATCACTCCCCACGACTCCTTGAAAGAAAGGCTGATCTTGTCCACCAGAAAACTTTAATAGAAAACGATGAGCTGTGCTTTCTCAGCAAATCTGCATTTCAACTAGAATGGCAAATTCACGATACTTAACTGAGTTGGAATGTCCAGGACACAGTCACTCTCAGAGTTTTATGCCACTTCCCCTCATTCTTTTCTTTAAAGAGAACTATTACGTTGAATCTTGGGTCCCCGTATAGATACTCATACTAGATAAATCTTTCTAGTATATTCTTGCTATACATGCAAAACTTGAACACAGTTGTGGCTAGTCCCCTTAAGACAGGAGCTCCCAAACTCTATACCATCAGCTTTGTGATCTCCTTGGGAATATAGAGAGAGCAAGATGGTCATCTTGGCTCCCTTCCTCATTTGCCCTGAATCAGTTCCACAAGACTGGACTGTACTTTAAGTTGGTTGTTGTTGCTGTTGTTTTATACCTTGAAGTGCTTCTAAAAGCATTCTAGAAACAGGGTATTCTGAAGGCTTGATTCATGTGCCATCTTTTTGAGGCCTCCTATTTTAGAAATTATTACACATGCACACAACATGATTTCAACTTTGTAAAATGATTTCAAATTTATTCCCTCTCCAGATTTTACTGCACCCTTTCCCTCTCATCTCAGTATTTATAGAACTGGTTGAAATTAAACTGTTTTGAACTAAGAAGTAGATATATATATATATATTTTTAAAAAGTGTTCGCAAATGAACTCTGGCATAGGTTTGTAAAAAGGCGATTTTTAAAAAGTAAAGCATATAACCTCAGGTACAAAAATAATGCATGCATTAGTACTTGCAAATCTGCCTACTCAAATATTAACCAAAGCATGCAAGATAACTTTACTGAATGTCAATTTACCCAGTGCATGATTAAGTCTCATAGGTTAGCTTATTTTTCCTTGCTTCTGAACAAGGAAGCATTTTCATGAACTTTGTGTTAGTTTTTCTATTTGCTTTTAATATCCTAGCCTTAAGATTGTTTTCATGCCATCCCACTGAACTTTACAGATATTCACACGTCTAGTTTATGCAGTATTGCAGCCAATGCCAAACTAATCATCTGAGGAACCCAGGTACTTAGACATCCAAACGATTTTTAAAAACCAAGTGGAGGCACAACAGATCCAAAACTCAAACAAAATCCACGTGTCTGAATGCCACTGAACAAAATCATGTTGATTGCCTCAGCACAGTTTTGGCTTCTAAATTCTGAAATAGTGCATTTCAAATTTTTTCTAAAAGTTTAGGAATAAATTAGAAATACTGACATTCTAAATAAAGTGGGGAGATTAATGTCAGGCGCATGAAAACCATCATAAGGCAAAGTGGTCCCAGGGCCTTAATTTCCACAAATAGCATGTAGAGTGTGAGTGTCACACCGTTATCCTCAACGTGGTCCTATTTGTATGGTAGGTGAGCTTCTTGGGCCCACATCCCTTGAGAAATTGGATTTGGTCAATATGTCTAAAAATATTGATATTCAGGAGTGAGGAGGTGACCTCATGGTCACTCAGGACCAACTCCAAAGTCCTCTTACTGCCTTTTGCTGTAACCACTGCTTTAGGAAAAAATAAGGACAAGGAGAAATGGAGGGAGCAAAGCTCAGTAAGACAACAGCTTTGCCACCATTTCATACACCCCCACACGCATACATATGAGCTCAAAGACAGAATTCCCCAAAGTCACAGCAAAGGCGGTTGTGTGGAGGCATTAAACAGTTAAGAGGAGAAAAAATTAAAGTGTGAGGTTTAACAAAGTCTCATGTGGTATTTTGCCTTGAATAAAGTTTCCACTATGTGCAACCTCTGCAGAAATACCAAAATAACACACCCTAGAAACAAGTGCCCCAGTCTCAGAACTGTTTTCTCAGGACCTTCTCTGCAGGAGAAACTGAACTTGCAACGTTGAAGAGTTGCAGCAAAACCCTGACAGGCTCAGTGGGACACTTTTAGAAACCTGCACTCAAAATAATATTAAGAGGAACGAAAGGACACCGAGGCCGTTCTTTGTTTAACAATGAAATGGAGGCAGGTTTTTTTCCTTGAATTTCTTGAAGAGGGAAATGGTGTGACACAAAAACGATTAACGGATGAACATGCTCAACTCGGTAGTTTGGCATTTTCACTGAGATATATAAAATTTTCACATAGATACTATGAAAGAATTGTGCCATGCAACAAATGTGTTCTTGATTGAATATGTTACCAGTAGTTAAAGGAAATACAGCAAATCTAAATTTTTACCAACTTCCTTTCGATTTCCCCCATATATCATCGAACCCAAACCCTCTTCAATGTTCATTACCCAAATTTATTTACCTTGATTGAAAAAAAAACTTGATTAATTTAGTAAACTTTTTACAAACTATAACAAGCATTTATTAACTATTTAGAAAAGACGTTTCTATATATTTTGTATATCTATGAATATTGCACATCTAGTCTAACCCAAAAATGTTGTTTTGAGACAAATTCTTCTGTGATGCTTCCTTATCACGCTCAATAATGTTTAAAACCATGTGATTTCATTTTTAAGCTGAAATAGATAATGAAGACATTTACCTTTAAATGTTTATATTGAGTTTCTAAATTAAAACCAACCCAAATTAAATGACCTATAGTAAATTCATGGCAATGGGGGGGAGGGTATGAAAGTTATTGGCATACTAGGTGATAATGTATCTGTGTATTTAGTGAAATATGATGTATCATAGCACAACTCTGTTGGGTATTACAGCTTCATCTTGGTATTTCCCAGCATTGCTCTTTGAAATAAAATTACTACCATAAAAATAACCTCTTATCATATTGATGTGTTTAATTTACTCAGTTGGCTTATAATTTGCAAAGTACCAAGATTAAGGTAGTATTTTTGTACTATTACTGGAGGCATGCCTTCCTTTTTTCACATTATTAAATTGTATTTATATTTGTGCAATTTTAAATTATGTTTTCAAATAAACTTCGTGTGTGGCTTCAAGGTCTTTTCAGGAATCTTTCAAAATGGGCTTTGGGGATCAGAATTGCTTCAAATAGAATTCAATTTGTACTACTGGTTAAAAGGTCCTTTTATTGAATATGACTATGTATGATTTTGCATGAGTTATCTGGAAATCAGGAATGCATTTTTAGATATAAAACAAAACTTTAAAATCTTCCTCCTTTGTTAATTTTTTAAGACTAAAATATTATTTAACCTGAAATTGGATTTTGTGATTTTCTTTTTAGAATAAAAGTCTTAAAATTATTTCAGTTTTAGGGTCTGTTTTATTTTTTGGTCAGTCAATAGACATTTGAGCACCTACTGTGTGCAGGTACTGTTCTAGCCCTTGAAGAGCTTGGGCTTGTGTGAGAGACCAACAAATACCTTAACAAATGAGAAGGTCATGCGTTGGGAAGTGCTGGAAGAACAGAATAAATAAGGTATTACGACTTGACTGGGGCCTCCTTCATCTATAGGTGGTCAGGAAACGTTTCTCTTAGGTGACCTTTGAGCCGAGATTTGAAGGACAAGAAGCCAGCCAAGTGGAGATGAGGACAAGCATTCCTGGCAGAGCCAACAGCTAGTGCAAGATGCCAAGACAAGAATGAGCCCAGTGTGAGTTCAAGGAGAAAGGAGCCCATGGTGGCAAGGGCTGTGAGCTGGGGAGACCCTAGGAGATGCCCTGGCAGGGCAGGAGATTGTCGGACACCTTCCTAGAGCAGGGTCAAGGGTGGATTTGCCCTCAAGCAGAGGAGGATTTGTCCCCAAGCAGAGAAGTGATGCCATTGAGACAGAAGTTTCTGTGTTTCCAAAATGTTTGCTAAGGAAAGTCCTTGCGTGGTCAGGTTGGTGATGGAGGGAACCACAGGCTTGGGTGAAGAGAGTTACACAGGGAGACTGGGGCATCCCCTTCTCCTTCTGCACTCTCCCCTTTTGATCAGAGGCAGCACTTAACCTTGGTGGGATAACACTTTCTCTTCTATAAAATCAAGCTGTACATCTTTCTTTCCTGCTTCACTGTGATTCTATATAAGGTAAAATTTCATCTACCCAGTGGTGACTTGTGGCTTCCCCCTTCCCCTTGCATAACACAAACCTTTTTTATATCTCCTACCCCACTTTTTAAATGTGAATTATATTAATTTCCTTAAATAGCTGCTTCACTCCATGGGTATATATAAAGCAGCCCAAGGTCTGAAGGTTCTTTACATTTCTTTACAAGTCTTCTTAAGGTAATACCTTAACTACCCAGCACTTTAGGGCTCACAAAGGACTTACATTTCTTTTTCCTAACTTATAGCTCACAATAAGGAATGCTGCCTGGTAATCATCTTAATGAATCAGAACTTTGGGAACTGATGGTTAATTTTAGTATTTTGCCCTGTGGAACTAAACTATTGATTCTCAGTAGGCCCCCTGCTCAGGTTTGCTCACCTGAGTGTACAAGGGCAGAGGCTAGGCAGCACTCCCTTCCCAGCCCAAGTTCTTTGAAAGGGAAACAGAAATGAAGCTCACGTTTACCGAAAGCTACCATGTGCCAGATTCCTAGATGGCACGTTTCTACTCTGCCATTTTAACCCCAATGGACACCCAGGTCCTATGCCTTTGCCCAACAAATATTTGTATCCAGTTCATAATTAATATTACTACAAATAATAAACATAATAATAGAAACTGTGCCAGATGAAAAAAAAGTCTTTTAGATTAAGAACAGAGTAAAGATCACACATAATACTAAAAATCGCAAAAACTGACCTGGGAAAAATTAGGCTTGAGAGAAATTAGCAAGATGATGGCTAATACTGCCCATAGTAAAATTTGCTATTGATTAAAAATTGACAAAAGAACAAAATCTTCTTGATAAAATTTACAGTTGCAAAATGTGACCTGGTAAAGCTAGACCCCGTTGGTAGCAAAAGGGAATTTGCAATGGCAAGAGTTCTAATAGGGACAATTTAAAGAGGACTGAAAACTAACTGATGACTCAGACTGTCAAAAATTTACAGAATTGATACCAATTAAACTAATTTCATTAAAACAGAAAGAAAAAAGTCAAAGCTGGGAAAGAGTTCAACTGGATATCTCATCACCTCTTGCCTGCAGCGGACCAGCAATTCTTCCCTCTCTCTCCTACGTCCTCAATATTTCATTTTCTATTTGGTCATCTTATTTCTTCTATTTAAAAACTAAAACTTCTCTTGGGGGCCGGCCCGGTGGCACAGCAGTTAAGTGCACACATTCTGCTTTGGCGGCCCAGGGTTCGCCAGTTCAGATCCCGGGTGCGGACATGGCACCGCTTGGCACACCATGCTGTGGCAGGCGTCCCACATATAAAGTAGACGAAGATGGGTACGGATGTTAGCTCAGGGCCAGTCTTCCTCAGCAAAAAAGGGGATGATTGGCAGCAGTTATCTCAGGGCTAATCTTCCTCAAAAAATAAAAAAAATAAATAAAAATAAAAACTAAAACTTATCTTGATCCCATCCCACTTCCCACCACCCACTTCTTTGCAAACCTCCCCGAAGAGTGGTCTGCATACCTCTTCTACAATTCTTCTCTTCCCAAACTCTTCCCCTGGAGATCACCCACGACCTCAAGTTGATCAATCTCACAGTCAAGTCATCTTACTTATCTACCACAGTTATTTGGCAGTTGATCACTCTCGCTTCCTCACAATGCTTTCTTTGCTTGGTTTCCACTTCCAGGCACCATTCTCTTGGTTTTCTTCCACCTTGATAGTCACTCCTTTCAGTCTCCTTTGCTGGCTCATCTTCCCCCTGACTTCGTATGTTGAAGGGGTTAGGCCCTGGTCCTCTTCTGTTTCATGTCTCCCTCCATTGGTGACAGTACCCAGTCCCATGGCTTTAAATACCATCTAGATACCAACAACTCCCAACTGTATATCTTCAGTCCAGACCTCTCTCTCAAGATCTAGAGTTGTATATCCAGCTTCCTACTCAACATCAACCATGTAGATCTAACAGGCATTTCAAATTCAACAGGATCCAAACTGGACTCCTGATCATCTTTCCTCATTACCAGCCCCCAACCCCACCAAGCCTTCCCTGTCTTGAGTGATTGCAACTACACTCTTCAGTTGCTCAGAACAAAAACTCTGGGATCAGCCTTAGCTATGCTCATTCCCTCACACCCCACATCCTGTCCATTAGGAAACCCTACTGGTCTTCCTTTCAAATGTATCCAGAATCTGACCATCTTTATTACCTCCACTGATACTACTCCATCCGAGCCCTCATCCTCTCTCACCTTGCTTAACACAGTCGTTTCTACTTCTATCCTTGCCCTGTTATCATCTAGCCGAACCAAAGAACTATCTTCCTGAAACTTTGGTCAGGTTGGGTCACTGCTCTGCTCAAGACCCTGTAACGGTTCCCCATCGCACTGTAGAGGCAAGCCCTTCCCATGGCCTCCCAGGCTCAGGCCATCTGGCCCCTCTCTGCGCTCCTCTCCCATTACTCTTCCCTTCACTCCCTTCTCTTGAACCATGCTGGTCCCGTTGCTGCTTCTCTGACATATCAAATACACTCCCACCATAGAGCCTCTGCCAAGCATATCCTCCCCCAAACATCTGTTTGGAAGATTCCTTCACCTCCTTCACATCTTGGCTCAAATCTCACCTTCAATAGCTGCCTTCCCTGAGTACCCTATTTAATACTGCAACCTGCACTTCCCCCTCTGCTCCACGTTTTTTTCCCCACAGCACTTAAGATCTTTTAACATATTACATAATTTACTTATTTCTTATTTTTAGTATCTGTCTTTCCCTACTAGAAAAAAACAACAGAAGGGCAGAGATCTTTGTCTACTTTGTTTACTGGTAAATTCTAAGAAAAACAATGCCTAGCACTTAGAAGATGTTTAGTATTTATGAAATGATGAACCATGCTATATAGATTAACAAAATAAATTGACTTACTGGAATTTTCTCCAGAAAAATACTTTTGAAAAAAGTCATCAATGTTGGTATAATTCTGATTCTTTAAAAAAATTTTTTTTAGACTGAAACAAAGGGTCAAAACCTCCATGGTGTCAAACGCTATATGGGTTAAAATGGTGCTGTAAAATAGCACAGTGAAAATATCCTGTGCCCACCAGGCTGTCAAGTGCTTTACATAACTCATCTCATGTGTTATTATGCCCACTACACGGATGAGAAGACTGAGTCTCAGGATATTAAGTGCTTACCAAAGTCACATAGCTAGTCTGTGTTGGGAATAGGATTTGAACTCAAGTCTACAAGCCTGTGCTCTTGCCATTATACCACTCTGCCTCCCGACCTCACTGAAAGACTCTTCCTACTAGTTTTTTAAATAATTGGTTGCATGAGGATGAGAATAACTCACTATTTTCCTATTAAATTTCCCCAGTGACTGGAGTTTGTCACTGACTACATTTGACAAGCAGGATCACAGTTCAAACAGCATACACACACACTGGTAAACTCTCCCCATTGGGCAGAACGGGACATATCAAGTGAATGCGAGCAGCAGCTGACTTGCAGACATTGTCCTAAAAACTTCACAGTTCTCTGAATCATACATAATCCCACATCCCAATCATTTCCTTCTTTCATCCCCCTCACCAAAACATATGGCACAACACTGACGTCGGTCATTTTACTTGGATTTTTAAAAATATGTAGGTTCATTCTTTTAAAAATTTTCAGCATTGAATGGACATATTTTGAGTAGTAATTAGCATGCCCTATATGGCAGGCAAAACAATGGCCCCCCCCCAAGATGTCCACATCCTCATCCTTAAAACCTGTAAATGTGCTACCTTACACAGCAAA